TGTTGAAACGCTGTGATTCAAATTCAGTAACGTCATGTGCAAGGTTTAAATGAAGGAAAACTATACCAGAAAATATTGTATAACATATATATGGTTGTATATAATAATAATATAATAAAATAATATAATATATACGATTGGATATAATAATAATAATAATAATAATAATAATAATATATATATATATATATATATATATATATATGATTGATATAATTATGTAATATAATAATAATAATAATATAATATAATAAAATATATACGATTGGATATAATACAATACGATATAACATATAACATATATATATAATATATACGTATTGTTTTTTTCCCCTTTTTTTTCTGCTACACATATTAAGTATTTTGTTTCAATATACCTTCTGATCTAGGGGATTTTTTTTTTAATTCACGTTTTATTTATCATTTGTATAATTATTTTTTCTTGAATTTTGGGTTTTTCCTTACAGTGAATGGTGAATAGTATTTTCGTATTGTTACACATGACGGCACTTTGGACTAATTCAAATACTATTGTCTACCACGCTTATAACACCCGATTCTTGAAAAGGACTGAGACAGTCAAAAGTCGTTGAATAAAAACACGAACTCCGGACAGTTTATCCACCATTTTCATCCAACTCTACAGCTTTTTTCATAGAGTGGAAAAATTGCAGCCAGAATTTAAACACACCTGGGACACACACGCGCATGCGCGCAAACACACGCATGCGCGCAAATACACGCATACATGTTGCGATGGCTAAATTGACGCCATCTCATATTTTTAACTTCGCGCATGTAAGTTGTTACTTTTTTTTTCATTTTTCGACTGCCCAGTATAGTAGGGTCAGTTGGGCACCGTCTGTGAGAAAAAGTGATCCATGGCGCAATTCACTCCGCCTGAAATTTGAAAACGACATGCTGCAACGCTTAGCATTCGCGCCAAAAGTTCGAATACAGACATTTCAGAGGAGTTGGGTGTCAATCTGAAGAGAGTGCAGAGTATTCGGAAAGAGCTGGATGATATATCCCGACAATATCATGGTGTCTGAAGCGGTCATTAGTGATGGCGACGTTATGACTCCATTTATCTTCCCACAGAGCCTCAGGCTCAACATGGAGGCCAACAGCAAGTGCCTTGAGGAAGTATTGCTGCCCTGGGTCAAGAGGATGCCTGCTGGATGGCACTATATCTGGCATCGGAAATCTGAACCATCCCACACAAGCAAGAGAACCCATTCATACGACATCAACCCTTACATCTGGCCATCTTACTTCACAGACTTCGAACCCCTTGATTATTACGGGGGGGGGCAGTTGACCAACAAAACTCCTTGTAGCACTATAGATGAACAGAAGGTAAGTAATATGGCAGCCTTCACCAACTTAAATAAGGAAACCGTCCAGAAGAAATGTAGGAGATTCCAAACTAGTCTAAAAACCGTGGTTGAAGCCAAAGGCGATTTTATTGAATACATGTACTCTTTAGTATTTCAAGATATTTTTCTGTAATTTTGGTAAATATATCTATTAAAATGAGATGTCAGTGTTATTTTCATTTTTACGTAATTTAGACGACAATCTATCCATCGCACACTCTCTATATGTGTGTGTGTGCGTGTGTGTGTGTGTGTAGTGTGAGAAAGAGAGAGAGAAAAGAGAGAGAGATGGACTCACGGTATTTCGTGAGTCAATTGAACATTGAGAGTTTTCTGGCAAAGGGCGCCATAACATGGCATCAGCTACCTCCAGACAGATAACTACATAAATACCGTCTTATATACAGGACATATCGGAGTGTTATAGCTGCAGAATGAATGATTAGGGGATCCTAAATTTGGTTAGTGGTCAAAGGTTATCGGAGACGTGACTTGTGACGAAACACTGTTGTCTGTTTGCCTACCGCACATTCCCAAGTAAACACCAGTCGTGAAACCTTCAGATCGCTTGATGGAGGTACTGCTACCCAAAAAACCTTGACATCTTTTAACGATGTGTGTGTGTGTTTTTTTTTTATCGATGCTGTGTTCGGAGGTTTTGCAGCATTAAGAGAAAAGTACATTGTGCCCGTGCGAATTACTTATCAGTCCTAGCCAGTTTCTCAACATTTATTAGTTTGTATTATTGGACTGGTGCATAATTATCAGGCGTTTTTGTAGGCAAGTTATTTGTTAATAAAACTTGCTGTTTTGTTTACTTTTTTTTAATATTATTTTATTTTCAGGTTATAAAAATGCGCGTCGATAATCATACGCTCCGGAATAATCATTTAAAAATGTAAATTGTTGAATTGTTATATTTCTTTATTCATAATAAATATTGTTTAAGAAACGCCTGATAATTATGCACCAACCCAATGAAGGACTAAATTCAATCTTTCAAATATTTCTACTTTATCCCACATTCATTTAATTTTTCTTTTAATTTGTATTGGCAAATTTTTTTATTTCTTCTTCTTCTTCTTCTTCTTCTTCTTCTTCTTCTTCTTCTTCTTCTTCTTCTTATTATTATTATTATCATTATTATTTTCTTTGATTTCTGGCGTTTACACATTTCCTTCCGGGTCCGGCCCAGGGACATAAGGTTAGAAATGGCATCATGACACTTTCCACTAACAAAAAAAAAAAAAAAAATTCATAGATAAAGCCCTTCGTAAAGTGTGGGCTGTACTTGTTAGAACATTCTTTTTGTATCTCCTTGGGGCATGGCCTTCCAGGAATCCCTTCAATTAGTCTACTGCAATCTTTTCCAACCAGACCTAGGGCTCCAACTACAACAGGGATTGTTGATGTTCCCATATGCCACATTTTCGAGATTTCTATTTCAAGGTCCTTGTATTTTGACAGGTTTTTGAATATCTTCAAAGATACATTGCAGTCTGCAGGGACTGCCATATCAATAAGGAGGCACTTTTTTGTTTGTGGTCTTTAATAACAATATCTGGGCGGTTGGCTTTGATTGTTCTGTCAGTGTGTATTGTGGAGTCCCATAGAATTGTAACAGGTCCTATCTCCGTAACCGGGTCTGGTTGGTGTTCATACCAGTTCTTTTATTATTATTATTATTATTATTATTATTATTTCCTTTAATTTCTGTGGTATACTAATTTCGTGCCGGGTCTTAACCAGAGAGCTAACGTCAGAAATGTCATCATGACATTTTTCTGATGAGCATTATTTTGTAAAATATACGTGAAACAACCTAAGACGTCACTCATTTTACATAGATAAACCCCTTCGTAATGTCTGAGCTGTACTTGTGAGTACAATTTTTTTGTATTTCTTTGAGGCATAGGAGAATAGGAATCCCATCAATGAGTCTATTGCGATCTTTTCCAATCAAACCCAGGGCTGCAACTACAGCTGGGATTGTTGATATCCGAACGTGCCACAATTCTGAAATTTCGATTTCAAGGACCTTGTACCTTGATAGTTTTTTGAAGATCTTCAAAGATATATTACAATCCGCAGGGACAGCCATGTCAATAAGAAAGCACATCCTGTTCTTGTGGTCTTTGATCACGATGTCTGGGCGATTAGTTTTGATTGATCTTTCTCTCTCTCTTCCCCCCTCTCTCTCTCTCTCTCTTTGTATTGTAAATCCGATAAAATTGTTATAGATCCTATGTCTGTAACCGCACCTGGATGATGTTCATACCATTTTCTCACAATTTTCTTACCGAAAAAGTTATAGATTTTCCAATGCAGATATTGGCCCAATCTATCGTGCCGGGTTTTATATTCAGCGGGTGCCTATACCGTGCAACTTGATGCAAGATGGTCAATTATTTCCGGATATTTATCACAGAATCTGTATTTTGGGTTACTACAATTTTTCAGTATGTGTGCTTGGTAATTTCTAAATAGCGAGCACTGGTCTTGTGAAGTAAGAATAAATGCTCCTGTTTCAGTTTTTAACCCTGCACTACATAAACGTTGATGTATACATCAGCTTGTTTGATAGGGACAGAGTATTGATCATGTAGAGGCTTTTATTATTAGTAGTAGTAGAAGTAGTTGTAGTAGTAGTAGTTTTGTCCTAATTCAGAGGAAATATTTTGAAGGCCTTTTCTTTTTTCACGTTGGTTTCAATTTTTTATTTCATATTGTCCAGAATTTTATATTTTTTCATCATTATTATTATTATCATTATTATTATATAACTAAGATTTCGCGATTCACAAACTATGACCATCATTTCAGTCACGATTACATCATTACTCGTGGATGACAAAGGAGGTCTTTACTTATCCGAAGTTGATTTACTTCAAAGTATCTTTCGTCTTCAGATACATTATTTTTGCTCAACATATTAAACAGCAAACTATATATATATATATATATAGTTTAATATATTTCATAAACAATAAATAATAAATGTATTGTTTATATATATAGTTTAATATATTTCATAAGCAATAATACATGTATTGTTTATATATATATATAGTTTGATATATTTCATAAACAATAAATATATTGTTTATATATATATATATAGTTTAATATATTTCATAAACAATAAATGTATTGTTTATATATATATATATATATATATAGTGATTTTCCAAGAGTAGCTTAGATGCGGCACAAGTCCCAAAGAAGGGTGCTCCCAGCGAGGATCGAACTCACTGCTCAATCGTAATTGTTTTAGCAAAACAAGCTTGCTAACCATTACACCACCTCGAGGTGCCCCTATAGCTTTTATTTATTTATATATATATATTTATCAACAATAAATTATGCGCATATTGTTTATAAAACAATGTATATATATATAGACAGATATGTGTGTGTGCGTTTGTGTTGTTTATATTTTGCTATTTAACAAAATATTTTGCAAAAATATTGTCAAAACTGATTTTTGAAATCGAACTTTTGCAGGATAGTTAAATCCAGACAAAAAATTTTAATTTGTAAGAATTTTGGGCAGTAATAATAATGATGCGATAAAAGTTTTACTAGTTAAATAAAAGAGGCGGATTCATACTTTTCTCACGGATACATCACCTGGTATTCCCAAGCGGTCACCCATCTAGGTACTGACCAGTCTCGACGTTGCTTAACGTTGGTGATCGTACTAGATCAGTTATTTCATCGTAATATGGTCGTAAGTCTCTCCATTAAGTAGAACAAACATTGGACTCCCCGTCGTAACTCTAGTTTTTGTTGCCCCTTTTGTTATAAACCACGTCTTTTTTTTTGACATGCGAAACCCATTTTTCATCACATGTATAAATGCAATGGAAAAATTAAATGTTGACATTTCCGGTTGCAGATGCTGGAATATTTTGTACTGTTCTCGACCAAAGGAAACCAAAGTCCCTCTTTGCAAGTTTTCTTAATATGCTTGAGATATTCATGAACAGTTGAACATGACACATTTTGTTTGCGCGCCAAATCTCTTGCGCTACGAAGTGGATCATATTCAATAGCCTCTCTCTTAATGTCTTAATTCAGAATGGAGCATCTCCCAGAAATTTTCCTCTATATGATAGTTACCATTTTCAAATCTTTCAAAAACCAGATGTCAGGTTCAAGTCTTCTAAGTAATACACACTGTAAAAAAGTGCCTCAATAAAAGCACTACTCATTTAAAATTCTTCGAATAAACAATGTTAAATCTATTTACATTATTGTCATATTCACGGCGTTTCGGCCATGGTACGCTCCGGCCTTCTTCAGGTGATTGTGTGTGTGTGTGTGTGTGTGTGCGCTCGCGCGTGTGTGTGTGTGAGCGCGCGCACGCGGGTGTGTGTGTGTAAGTTTAACACATGTAAATGTAAATACTGGGAAATTCTAAAATCTTGTCTCATAGTCATGTTTTGAAAATAAACTCAGTTGTCTTCAGTAAACAACAAGAACAAAGGAATTGGACCTCCAGTCCCAATAATTTGAGAGTATATATATATATATATATATATATATATATATATATATATATATATATATATATAGTCATCCACAGACAGACAGTTTGGCTCATTAGTGTAACTAGACATCCGATGGTTTCAAGTTGGGATCGAAACCCAACCGATTTGGCATCAGTCAGAGATTCTACTCCCCAAGCTATCGTCACACAGTAGCGACGCCAGTGATTAAAAGAGCACAATTCGAGTAGAAGAGCATTGCATTAGCAGCAGCAGCAGCAGCAACTGTTTATAAAATCACCCTTTCTCTCCGAGAGCTCAGTCGAATTATTTCGAGAGCATAGTCATCCATAGACAGTTTCGCTGTATCGTAGCATACATATATATATATATATATATATATATATATATATATATATATATATATATATATATATGTGTGTGTGTGTGTGTATGTGTGTGTGTGTGTGTGTGTGTGTGCGTGTGTTTGAGTGTGTGAATAAAAAAATTAAACTTTTGTTTACCAACGTTTCATCTTCCATCAAAGGAGAAACACATTGGTAAGAAAATTTCCTTTTCTTTTATTCCCTATTTTAAAAAAATATATTTCATTTATGTCTGAATTTTGACACACACAAATCACACACACACACACACACACACACACACACACACACACACACACACACACACAACAACACACACACACGTGTGTGTGCGCAATGCATGTGTGAATCAATGCATGTATGCTCATGCCTCGATAAGGTTGAACTAATCATTCTGTATGCCTGAGTGAGGGATCAATTGTTTAGTTTATATCAGATAAACAGGCAGATAAAAAGTATCATCTGATATCATCCATTGATTTTTATATTTCTGTGAATGTCAGTTGGCACATTGTGATTTCTGTGGCGCCTAGTGACGTCAGTTCATCCCCGGGCTTCTCCGTTTCAAAAACACTGAGCGACGCCGACCACCCTCATTCAACCACCCAAACTTTTTGACTTTTGTTTCCAAAACAAAACAAAAAAATTAAACACCCGTTTCCATTCAAAGAATAAAAAAAAAGAAAGTAAAATGATTCCTTGATTCATATCTTGATGACTGTACAAATTTGATCCCGCCATTTCGTTTATCATGATGTGCCTAAAAAACAGCTGTCATAGAATTTAATTGTTGCTATCGTTAGAGGTTTGCGTCCACTGACTTTCTCTCACAGGTAAAAGACTCTTGACTAGCGTAAGCAAAGATACCTATATTCAGTATGTATGAGTCGATATATACAGAGCCGGCGCGTAATACCCTCGACCAGGGTAACCTGATTAGGAGCCCCTTCAGTGCTTTTTGACACTTGCTACCTTATCAATCTTTGCTTTTTTTCTACCTACATTCGTGTATGTTACAAATTAAACTAAGCACAACTGACTATTAAAATGATGTAAAATTTTTACGATTTTTGACGTCATTCCGAGGTCTTTTTTTCGTCCAAATCCATTAACTTATTTTTTTCGTTTTACATTACCTGCTCAGATATGACGTCCTCAATACGTAACTTAAACATTGGGTACTGACGACCATGAATTACGTCTTTTACAGTTAATAATTAGTCCGTTTTTTCTTTCTTTCCTTTCCATTATTTACTAAATAGCCATCCAATACAAGAGCCACTTATGGTAGAGGGTTACTAAATAAGGTTAGTTGTGCAAACGTAGGAGGATTGTTGATTGATTTGTTTCCTTAAGCTTATCAGCCCTGTGCAGGTTATTTCAACTCAAAAAACATTTTCAAACTGCAAGAAATTTTAGTCCTACTTATTAACCCATAGCTGTCGGGAGAAGAAGTGAATTCATACCATTCCCAAATGTATATGCATGTAAGTAAATATAACGAACCCGATTGGAATTCGATCTCGGTTCTTTGATTTTCCATTCCGACCCGTTATCCATGGCACCAAGCTCGCATCAAACACGCACCACCTGGCATTCTCGAGTGGTCACCCATCTAGGTATTGACCAAACTAGTCGTTGTTTAACTTCGGTGATCGGACGGGTGCTAGTGTTTCAGTGCAATATGGCGGTGAGCTGGAAAAAAAATAAAGATTCAATGATTGGTTGGTTGTTTTGTTTTATGGCATATCAACCTCAGTGGGTCATTTAATGCCAACAAAATTTTGAAATAGATTCATAGCGATAGTTTGGTAAAAAAAAAAAAAAAAGGTGTTTATGTATATATATATATATATTTGAACCATTTTTCAATTACTCATGTTTTTGAGTACAATCCAACTTCTTTTAGGAAATTTACAATATTGGGTGGTTTTATTTTCGTAAAAAGATTTTTAAATTACTCACTTGGTTTGGTTTGGTTTGTTGTGTTTTACGGCATATCAACTTAAAATGGGTTATTTAATGCTGACACTTTTTTTTTTTCGTGGTAATATTTTTTCCTTCATAAATCTATTTTTAGTAATATTTTTTCCTTAAAAAAATGTATTGCTGGCAATAATTTTTTTACAAAAAGTATTTTTGGTATTAAAATCTATTTTTACACTTTCATAGTGTTTTGACCCCAGTTTGGGGGGGTTAATTATTTGCCCAAAGCTGGAACATTAACAGGTGCTACCATCCCGGGTCAGGGTGTACCTGGGAACACCAGCAATTAAGTGATGGTTCCACGCTCCTCACAACCTCCTGATCAAAGGCCTTTCTGTTGGACGTAGTTTAACGTCTTACCCAGGACGCGGATGTAGTTTATCGTCATACCCAGGACAGAAAGATTCAACGAAGAAGAGACTCACTTTACTGAAACTATTATGCAAACTTAGTAGAATTCTGAAGGATACTTGTTGTCACTTGACCTCCAGCGAAACCTACTGTTTACCACTTGTGAGAAAATCTAACCTGTACACGTAGAAATAAGAAATATTCTCAAATAAAAATAATAGGAAAGAAAAAGTTATTTTGAATATTTCTTTTTGGAGTTCTCTACTAAACCCCCTAAGACACTGTCATGAGCCGCCCCTAAAGGGTAAAATGAACCAAATGCTTTCGGGATGGTGGCACTGTTGGGTCGGTATGAAGATTTGACAGAGTGGACTATTTTAGATGCTGGGCGGGAAATAATTTGTGGAGTGAGTTGTGCGTAGAGAGCAACTTTAAACGAAGTGGTATTTCAAGAAAAAAGAAAGAAAGAGAGAAGAAAAGAGAGAAAAGATGAAAGGAAGGAAGGAAGGAAGGAAGGAAGGAAGGAAGGAAGGAAGGAAGGAAGGAAGGAAGGAAGGAAGGAAGGGGAGGAAGGAAGGAAGGAAGGAATGGAGGAAGGAAGGAAGGAAGGAAGGAAGGAAGGAAGGAAGGAAGGAAGGAAGGAAGGAAGGAAGGAAGGCGGGGGAGCAGGCAGGCAGGAAGGAAGGAAGGAAGGAAGGAAGGAAGGAAGGAAGGAAGGAAGGAAGGAAGGCGGGGAGGCAGGCAGGCAAGAAGGAAGGAAGGGAGGAAGGAAGGCAGGCAAGCAGGCAGGGTGGAAGGAAGGGAGGGAAGGTGAAGGAAGGAAGAAAGGAATAAACAAAGAAAGAAAAAAGAAAGGATGAAAGAAATGGCGCACAAAAATCAGAACGAGGCAATAACAAAAGAAGACAGATGATGAAAATCGAAAAGGAAGAGGTAGCAAAGAATAAGTAAGTGAAGAAAAAAGCAAGACAGACAGACAGACAAAAGAAAGAAAGAACGAAAGGATTAAATAAACAAAGAATACATAAAAAGAAAGAAAAAAAAACAAACAAAGAAGAATGAAAATAGAAAACGGACAGAAAGAACCGATGAAAATATAGAAAGAAGAAAAAAAAAAAGAAAAAAAAGACACTGGAAAAATAAATCATAAAGAAAGAAAACGGGAGAAAGAAAGAGAAATTATAAAAGAATGAAAAATAAAACGAAAGAAAAAATGAAAATAAAAAAAATGAAAGAAAAAGAGAAGATGAAAATAAAGAATAATAAAAAGGAAAGTAATAAATAAAAAAAAGAAAATGATAAGAGAAACATTGACAAAGAAAGAAAAAAAAAGGAAGAAAGAATGGATGAATTGAGAGAGGCGCCCCACCTAAAGAAGCGGTCAGTCTCATCCTCGACCCCCAATGACACAAGTTATACAGAGATACAAAATGACACGCTGATGCCACCAACCTTGCCACTTGTTTCCCCACTCCTTACTAATAACACCTTCCACGCCCACAAGACGTGTCAAGTGACGCCCCTCGCCAGCTGAAATGCATACACACACGGGGGTCCTTCCATCTCTCCCACGAGGTTTTAGTCAAAAGGGGCCAAGAAAGATGATGAAGGTGAGAACCTCAAATGAACTCCTCTATTTAACCTCAGTCGAGAACGTGACAGCCTTTTATTTACTCTTTTTTCTCCCTAAGTTTATTTAAATTTTATTTGTGTAAACAAACTACGTTTCGAATGAGCATGCAGTCGTTGATATTTACACAGTATGGTTAAGTTCGCCACAAGAGCTAATGAAAAGAAAACGACTGATGTTGGCCTGAGTAAAAAAAAAAAATATAGCATCCGAAGGTCCATTTTCTCTTTGGGTTCGAAAACCGACCTCTAACACCAGTGGGACAATGGTGAATATATCAACCTCAACACAAAATCCTTTTTACATAGTAAGTTAACATTTTCTAACACAAAACCAAATGGATAAACATGGACATTTGTTCCCATGACACCGCTTTTATTTTAACTACCTTCACTCCCTCGGCAATGTTTCTTGGTTTAAAAAGCAATGATTAGAATTGTAATAAAAGCTAAACATTTGATGAAACTGAATTTATACATTTTTTTTTGTTCTTGAGAATTTAAAACAAAATATTAAACACTATTTTTATTTACAACAATATTTTATATTTACAACGTCCTAAAAACTGAGACAATTGTATTAAGACTAATGTAATATTTATCTTTTATCAATTTATATAAAGAAATTAATATGAAAACACTTTTTTATTCACAAATTTATAAACATTTGCCAAACTGTCAAAATTTATGAACCAACTATAAGTTCGAATCAATTGGCAATGGGCTCATATTTTGCCAACGAGTCCGATAAACAATAAATAAATAGTGTAAATAAACAATCTAATAAAAAAATTGTTTATTTTTTATGTTGTCAAATCTCAAGAACAAAGAAAATGTATAAATTCAGTTTCATATGTTTAGGTTTTATGAAAATTCAAATGAACGTTTTTTAAAACAATAAACATTGCTGAAGCGTGTAGGTAGCGTGGGAACATTGTTATTATCACAAATGAAAATATAATAATAATAATAATAATAATAATAATAATATAAATAAAATAAAATAAGATAAAATTTAAACCTCATTTAAAACAAATAAATAAAATAAAACTAATAAAATTATTCCCAGCATGCAACAGTGACTATTCTTGCCGGAAATACGGACATCCCACTAAGATTCACTTTCTTCGCCCAAGCACTGTTATGATGACAACACGTGTATAAATTCCCTCCGTGATAAAACTTGTGATATTACAGAGTGACTTACTCCTTTCTATAACATGAACCTTATCACAATTGTAATGTAAAACACACACACGAATGAAAGTGAATTTATACATTTCTTTATCTTGAGAATTTACAACAAAATATTAAACATTATTTTCATTTACAAGAATGATTTCATATTTACAACGTTCTAAAATCTAAGACCATTGTATTAAGACAAAGGCAATATTTATCTTTTACTAATTTATAAAGAAATACATATGAAAACTGCCGAGGGAGTAAATGTAATTGAAATAAGAGCAATGTCAAGGTTAAAACCGTCTTTTGATACGCAGTTTCCTTTTCGGATACGAAGATCCATGTTTGCTACCAAATGAAATGGATTAAAACACATAGGTGTAATTGCGTTATCTCTCCCTTTTTGAAAGTTCTAACGATAATGGTGGCATTAACCGCCTCCATACAAAAAAAGAATGAACCATTAACGTAACTGTTGATTAAAAATTATAGTATCTTTCTCAGAAAGTTTTTTTCAGGAAAATAGTCTTTTCAAGTATACTGTCATCTCAATTTCTGGGATTGATAATGGTTTCCTTACAAACCATTTGTTTAATGTAGTGTGGAAGGTCAACATCTTGATTTCAATATGTTTTTAACCATTTCACCGCAAGTAAGGTGATAATGTCACTAAGACGGCCAGTGTTCTTGCAGAAGTGTTGTAAGAATGGGACGTTCCGCCATAGGTGACAATTTTATGGGAGAAGAATTGTTGGCGAACCGTGTCTAGAAAATTCAAGAGCAGTGGCTTTGTAGAAATTCGTCAGTCAGTCAGTTAGGTGCCATGCGTGATACACACTTCGGCGATCATGTATCTTTCGATATATGACCCATGGGACAGATTTTTTCCCCGCAGTAGGTTGGCATGTCCTTCTGCGGTAGACCAGTTGCCATCTAAGGCTACAGAACCCGGTCTGTCATGATATTTACCCATAGATGGTGGGGGAGAAGAGGATTCATACCTTTCCCAAGGTTATTAGCACGTAAATGAATTTCAGCCACTTATCTGCCAGGCGTCATACACGCTTGGGCGATCATGTATCTTTCGATACATAATTGACGAGACAGATTTTTTCCCGCAGTAGGTTGCCATTTCTTTGAGGGGTAGACCAGTTGATATCCAAAGCTATAGAAGCCGGTTTGCTATTCAGCCATAGCGGTGTGTGGGGGGGAACAGGATTTATACCTTTCCCAAGGGTATTAGCACGTAAGTGAATGTAATGGATTCGACTGAAATTCGAACTCGGCTCTCCAGTTCCTTAATCCGAGCAGCTATCTATTACTCCACCATTTCATTTTAGTTATAAAGACGGCCCTAATTTTATTTATTTATTTATTTATTTATTTATTTATTTATTTATTTATTTATTTATTTTCCCTGTATATTGTTTGCGTTTTGCAAGTATGCTTGATGTAAATTTAAAACATATTGTTCGAATGCCAGTCGGGCCGGTTACATTCATTTATGCACAAATACCTTTAGGAAATGTAG